AGGCAGGCAGGCAGGCAGGCAGGCAGGCAGGCAGGCAGGCAGGCCCATCTATGGAAAGCAATGCTGTGTCTTATCAGGCTGAATTAAACCATCTGCAGTCTCCAGACTTCCATCACTTCCCACAGCATACTCCACACTCCCACCCACTCTTGTGTCTCTGTCTTGTGTGTGTTTTTTGAAACCCTCTTTTGCTATTCCAGTCATACTTTTCTCCTTCTGGCCTTCCCCCCTTTCAGCATCTGATTCTCCTACTTCCAATTTTCATTTCCATTCATCCAGCCTACCTCCCATTCATTGTCCCTGACTCTATCCTACCAGGAGGACTGGCCACTTCCCCAAAAAACCCTGCCTTGAATTCAAAAGCTGAACCCACAAAGACCAACTGAACAACACTGCTGGGCTTCAGTTTCCAAAGAAAAACTCCAAACTAGATAGTGGGTCCCAGAATGGAATTCCCTTCATCTTTACCTAAAACTGAACTATGCAGCAAATGTAACTTCTTATCTCAGCACAAAAGATGCACACACAAAGCAAGAAGAAACATAGGTCCCACCATTAGCGATTGTGGACATGGGAAATGCTTTAAACCAGCCTCCAGTTGTAGTCCAACATACTCTCAAATCCCTGGCCAACAGGCATAAGTACAATGTATCTAAAGGGCACCAGATTGAAGAAAAGATGCTTCACATGTTTGCATATTTTTCTTCCATTAAAGCATAAAGTTGGACGGTTCTGAGCAGCCTAAGAATTTTTGCAATTCTTCCCCCATCCCCAGGCAGCCTTAGAAGAGCTGCTGGAAAACAGGGTCTTGGAACTACACTGGAAGCATTAAAGCTCTTTCCAAGGGAAGTGAGAGGAGGCTGCTTAAGGCAGAAGCCATCAGTGGGGAAGGGCAGAAAAGCTCCAAAGAATGAAGAGATGGACATTAAAAGGATAAAATAAAGGGAAGAGAACTGGAAAACAGAGGGGGTGGGCTGTTGATATGAACTCCAGTTCAAAGATGAAGTAGATGAAGATGGAGAGAAGAGGCTTAGAAGATATGTTTGTGGTAAATTGGGTAGACATCAGAAATTATCCCCCAGTCCCTGGTGAGATATATGACTATTTTAGAGTAAAAGTCAGAAAAGCAGTACCCATGGGTACCTAGATACCAGTGACATCCCCATAGAGTATCTGAGGAAGTTTCAATGAAAATTAATTTTCAAAATCATCATCATCATCATCATCAACCAATTTTGCAGTTTTGGCATCCTCACATTAATCTTATAAGATTTTAAGCTTCAATACATGAAATATGATGGACAAGTAGCATTTGTCTCCTCTGAATTGCCTGCAATATCACTTGCTACCTCCATCTTTTCAAAGGTGATTAGTCAACACTAGCAGGTTTTCATGGGCTCTGTCATGACAAAGAGGAAGGCCACGAAAGATTAGCAACCCAAATCATCCTTCCATTGCCTGGTGTCTCCAGATGGATTGGGATTATGACTCTGTATTTCTTATCCAACACATCAGATGTGGTATCAAGTTGAGCAAAGCTGTTTTGAAACGTCTGGAGTGGAAGGAGTAAATATTAAGAGTTTCATCAATGCTACAAGCCCTTGGTCGGTCAACAGAACTGTGTCTTCATACTTAGATTTGATTGTACCATGACCTCAAGATGAACCTAATTTAATTTCTCTAGAAGAAAGGGAGAATCCAGTAGCTTCTCATGCCCATAAATAGAATTTTGCCTTATTTGGACACTTTTCTCTTTTATAAACCATATGCAAACCAGCGTGTTGCATTTTATTTTGTAAAGACAGCTCGCCCTATACCCCCTGGCCTATGTGTCAAGAGCTTTTCCCCACCCTAACAAACTGTTGCAACAAGGGTTGAGGGAATTCTTGGAAGGGGTCACTGAAAGAAGAGGGAGCAGCTTGATTTTTCAAAAACCCACCATCAAGATGCGTCGGTAGCTATCTCTGTCAATCCCCCAGAGTTTGAGATCCGTCTTAGCTTTGACAGTTGCAGCTCGTGGTGTTCCATAGATGAGAGCAAGTTCTCCAAAGCTGCCTCCTTCTCCAATGCTGGTGACTAATTCTCCATTCACATACACCTAATTAAACAGCAAAAAAACAGGGTTTTTTTTTCCTCTCCAAAATGGACATTGCAAACAAACAAGCATACAAAGCTTTCTGGTTTAACAGTCCCTGGAAGTTGACACTCCAAAAAGAAAATAGTTGAGCCACTGCCTTACAAAGTCACCCAAAAAGTGGGGGGGGGAGGTTGGAGTTGGGGAAGAAAAGTCTTGGTTAGCAGAGTGGATTTCAACGCTTCTTGTTTTATCACAATGCTTGCATTTGCTCTGAGTTTTCAGCTCATGGTCGATGGCACAAGCTCTCTGCCCCAAGAGAGATACCTACAGGGTTAGGGACTGATACTCCCCCAACTTTTGCTTATTAACACTGTCAGACTTCAAAAGAGGAGAAAGTTGCAGTTCATACAGGAACCCAACATAAAATCTAGCAAGCCTCTTACATAAGGTTCCACACACCCCCACATCCCATCCCTTCCCTTCCCTTCTCCTTAAAAGTTCATTCATTTCTGCACTGTTGACTTACAATCCTCTTCAGCTGGCTGGGGATTCTGCTAAGGAAAGGAGCCCCTTTTATTTGAAGGTGGCCTTGACTTAAAGTCTGGTTTAAAGATAAAGAACCTCCATGATAGAGACCACCCTGGAAATTCCAGGGCTGTAGGCGGGACTAGGAAATTAAAGAAAATGAAAAATCACAGAAGATAACAATGGAAACAACTGCTGAGTTGTTTGCCAAAGAAAATACAACCAGAGGAAGACTTTAGCAAAAAAATTAAAAATCAAAGTTAGAGAAGCCTTCTTTCAAGGGCAACAGGAGGGACCTCACTGCTTCATTGCCTTGAGCACTGCAGCCTTTGCCTCTCCCCGTCCAATTAAACACTGGTCACTCTTCTCTAAGACAACCTTTCCTCAACCTGTCACTCTCCAGATATGCAGGACAACAAGTCCCATCCTTCCCTCTGCCAGACAGGCTGGGGATTATGGCAGGTCTAGCTCAGTTTGTCTCAGGAGGTCCATTTAGGGAAGTTTGCCTCGCAGAAGCTGTGCCAACCCCTTCTCCACAGGCAAAGGTGAGGCCAAAAAAGGCCACCATCAAGACATGCGATAATCCTGTCTGTGAATTTAAGAACTTGCTTCCCAGGTAAAAATGCCAATTTTGGAGTCTCCATCCCATCGAAGAGGAAAAAAGGTCACCTCTACACAAAAAGCCAGTGTGCTACAGAGAAGTTAATGGTCCTGAAGGTTTCAACCTCAGCGTTCCACCAGAAATTTTGTGATGATGAGAAAGTACATTGATGATAAACTGCCCTGTCATTCTGTCCTTTGCCTGCAAGTTCAGCTCTATTGTGTTTACTTGCATGATCTGCCTCTTGGGGGTGAAAGGAGAGGAGAGGAGAGGAGAGGAGAGGAG